CTTGAAAAGGATTTATTTCTACAATATATAGTTCAGAAATAAACTTTAAATTGGAAATTAAACAAAAGGAAAACCATACTCTTAGTCTTTGAACTTAACATTTCAAAATATAGTTTCGCTTGTGAAAAAATTTAAACATTGAAGTGATGTTCCCCTTGAGCAAATAACTTTGTCTCAATTAGCAATGCCATTTTTTTTGCAACCTTTAATTATTCATATCTGTCTCTGTAATGAGCGCAAATATATGATAAATTATGCAGGGGCGTTCGGAAATCCAGCTCCATGAATGCCAAGTCAGGTTAGCATCTGCTTCCCAGGCAATTTGGGCAACATTTGCAGCTGCTGTGTCGCTGCAGCTGAATTTGCATTAGCTCCGCCCAAAGAGGCAGCTTCGATCTTGGTCGGGTTGCCGCCTTCAGCTTATGGCCCATCAGAATGCAGTTTTTTATGCGGTGCATGTTGCACGTCATGTCGGCCATGTTGCAGCTGGGGCCAGTGGCGCCCCACTGATTTATGACCTCCGGGCGTTTATTTGCTAGCCGTGCGCGTTCGGAGCCGAAAGTTGCCGCGCCGAGATTTATGTGTGCAGGGCAAGACAAACCGCACGCAGCTTCTCAAGTCGGTGAATAAACTGCACTAATAAGTTGCCGTTGAGCTTGAGGCAAGTGGCCGAAGTCCGGGGCTGCCAGAAATGCCACAGAATCCAAGGCAATAGACAAAACAAATGTTGGCAAAAGTTCACAAAGTTTGCAGGGCCCCCAGGAAAGGGGTAAGCGGCAAGCAGCATAAATCGTTTTATTGAGCTTCGCGTCAGGCTAAAAGTTGCAACACCAAGACAGCAATTTGCCGGCGCGGGACAAGAAGGGATAAAAAGGGATAAAACGGGGGCACAATAAAGCATGAAACTTTTGCAAACAGGCCCCGAAAAGAAATTGGCAACATAAGGCACCGCTCAAAAGTCGTTCCTCCGTTCGGGCCAGGCCAATTGTTAATGGCTAATTATTTGGAGCTAACGTTTTTCCAATGCCTCTGCTGCTACGCCTATTGGGGACAAAAACCCGGAGACAAAACCAAACGCTTCTTGGCACATTTCACACTGGAGAGACACAAGAAATGCACATAAATTTTACTTAGCCAAGTTGCAAAGAGTTTCGACTGCCAAGTGGCAGCCAAAGAAGTCAAAAGAAGTGCAAAGAGCGATAACAACAATAAGTTGCCAGCATTGCTCGAATGCACAATGCAAGTGGCGATAGTTTGCCATAGTTTCGCCATTGCCAATCCCTCGATTTACCCCTTCTAAACCCGTCCGTGGTACAGATGAAGCACTCAATGGCCCAGTGATGGTAAGAATCAACTGAGGTGTACTCTATTACAGAGGTGTACTCTAGAATATTCTGTATACCAAAACCAATATATTTCCTTTACTATAGATTTATTTATTAAAATTTTAATACGCTCTTAATAACTAAAATGGACTGGAATTTTGGAAACATCATATGTAGAAGCACAGATTTTGTGTAATATTTCCTTTTTACTATAGTTTTTATGTACATTTTGTGAGTTTCCATCCCCATACATTTAGCGAGTTGAACCTGTGCCACCACTAGGTGATATCCTTTTAATGTCAGCCCAAATGGGAAGCCGCCAGCGAAATTTATGCGAGTTTAACAAGCAGCTAGCAGCAGCAAGGTTCCGTTACAGTTTCTTGCTGCAAATAGGCATAAATTTGCATTTAATGTAGTCGACAAAAACGGCAGCAGCAGCAGCAGCAGCAGCAGCAGGAGGAGAGAAAAGAGCAGTGTAAATGCCAAAAATAGAAAAAAATAATTCTGCTATTTAGTATATAATTTCCTGGAATAGTCTTGCTGTTGGTGGTGGTCGGTGTTTGAACCGGGTCCGGTCTGCAGTCGCCAGGTGCCATTAAAGCCGCATAAATTTTTTAAACTTTCGCCAATTTGCATTGCAAATGCCCCGCCCTGGCTAATATGCACACACGTGTGTGTGAAAGCGTTTGTATTTTCGCGTTCTGCATGTGGCTCCAAAAGCGTTTGGGTCAGTCTATTAAAATGCAAAGAGCCGTCTCTCTCCACGGCCAGCACTTTTCGCCGGCCGGAAGTCCATTTTGTCTTGTCGTTCACATCATAAATATGGCCGGCAGCAAATGGCGGCTCTGTTTATGGCTAAGTCCCGTCTGTGAGTCTGTAAGTGTGTGTGTTTGTGTGTTGTTGCCGCTTTTAATGACAATTTGTTGAGGTTTGCATAAAAATTTCAACGAATTTCATTTGACACACATTCAGCACTCCACTCGTTCGCCTTCGTTTTTTACTTCTTTTTTTGCTCCTTCGGCGGCATAAATTTAAATAATTTTCCCTTTTGACGCTTTCGTTTACAACGTTCGAGGGGAATGGTATCTGTTGGTGTGTCTGTGCTTGTGGTTTATGACAGGTTCTTTGGCATTTTACGACAGAGTGTCGAGCTGACGGAGTTTCTTGCCACTGCCGGTCAATTGTCTGGCCTTCTCGGCTTGAGCCATCAGCTTTGTCATTAAAATTTCAATCAATCTAATCATTATCAATATGCTTTCCATTTGCCACACCAGCAGCCGCAACTCGAATGTCTTATTCATGTGTCCGGGGTTATGCAATGATAAATTCATGTCCAGCCAGGGCGTTGTCACCCGAAAATGCTGTAGTACTGAGCCCGGAAATCGATATACTTGTCTTTCGAAATCAAAGCCAGCTTTTAAAATATGCTAGTTAAAGTCCTGGAATGACAGTCATATAATTGCCCCGATGTGTGGGCAACACTTTTATTTTGCAGTGTGTCTGCTTGCCGTCTTTCCCTTTTGGTTTATTATTTTCCACACGGGTGCCTCGACATGACAAAATTTACTAGCCCAAAAATAAGAAAAACAAATAAATGAAAGGGAATACAACACCAAGACGGGGAACGAAGACATCGACAAAGTTGTCCACGCTCCGCTCTCTCTTGCAGCTTGTCACTTAAAGCGAAAAACAATTTTTCTCCAGTGGGAGAAGAGGCAGCAGTGTACGTGTGCACAGTACATGTGTGTGAGTGGAGCTATCTGAAAACCAATTTTCGTTGCTAAATTGATGTTTATAGCTATGTAGGAGCACCCTGACGACAGCGATGAGAATGACGATGACGATGGCGTCGGCGATGACGATGATGCGGCCGTCGATGGCTATGATGAGCTTGTTGCGGCCACCGCTCGTCGCCTCTGATGAAGACAAAGTGCCAATGCGAAAAACTAAACGCCAAGCTCCCGAACAAGTCAAGCCAAAGCAAGTCAAACAGGTGCACAGAGAGAAACTTTTCACAGGGAGAAAGCTTCATATGTGAAAATCAAACCTGCATTGAGCTCGCTCCTGTGAGAATCTTTTAACCACTTTTAAATATTTCCTTATTCACTAAAAATGTCAAAATAAGAAGCTTACATTTTCCCCAGTGTATTGCAAGTGGAAGTCGCTCACAGAATGCGGCAATGAAAATCCTTTTCGACGCGACTCGAATCAACTGTAGTCGAGAGCTCTCCCCTCTCCGCGTCCATTTGACAGCATTTTGATGCTTCCGCTTGTAATTTATGTGACACTTGCAGTGCCATAGATCAGGCTGCGGGGCAAGTGATGAGACTGCTAGTTTCTGCTGCCATATCCTCGTTTTTATTAGGTCCTCGCTGCTGCTTGGTCTTGGCCGGGCTGACACTTGATTTCCTTGGGCAAATTTGATCAATTGAAACAGGCGATAAGCGGGTGGGAATGGCAGGTAATCCGCGTGCAGCTCAGTTAATTAGATGCCAGGGGAAGTGCACATAAATAAACAATTAGGTGGCTGCAGATAACCGAGCGTGCACCTGCAAATGCAGCACATTAATTGAAGCTCACTCGCCCGGGTCTGAGTTATCCACTGAGTCATCCCCCTGGCTGCCCGAGTGACTGACTGAGTCATCACATTCACCCTTAACGCTGTGAGTAATTTAAAACGATTCGCTGCGCTCCTTGGGCCCCGCTCATGAATGCATTTGAAATGCTTTTCTCAAGCTCCTGGGTCCTGGGGTGTTGTGGCGTGGAGTGCATCTGCCGCATCCACCATTATCCTGGGCATATGTCTCAGTCAGATCAAAGCCATAATGCTGGCTGAGTGCGAGTGGTGTGCGTGTGCGGATGACAGCGGTATTAGGGCCAATTACATGTCCAACTCTGCCGGAGAGTAGTATACGGAGAAGTGTTTTTATGACATATGGCCAAAAGGCTGATTCTGCGGTTAGTGAAGACAAACTAGTACGCCTCTTAGAGTTTTCAACATTTTCTGGAAAATAACAATTATTTTCTTAAAATTTGAGTGTTGATGACAGCGACTTTAGAACCACATTGATATCAAACTGTGCGAAAAATATTATTTTGTTGACATTTTTGTTCGAATTTCAGTTCTGCGGTTTAATAAGATACAGAAGAGGAAAATTAAATGTCCGAATCAGCTGGAGAAATAATTTAATTTATTGCAGAAAGTCAGATTCTTGGGTTAGTAAAGACAAGTAACTTATCCCTATCAAAAAGCTACAACACAGAGTTATTGAAGAAAAATAAAATATATTTAACATCAAACGGTGCTAAATAATATTATCTTGATCAATATTTTGTACAAATTTTAAGGTATTATTAATTGCTTTATTAATATAATTTCAAATGTTCTTTTAGTAAAGGTTTATCGAGAACTTCACTGTATTTTTGTTGACAATTTGATTAGCTAATTTAGCTGGCTGTTCTTGGATTGTTGTGTACTCTAAATTGTGGCAGTGCTCATTCATGAGTCAGACATACAGACACAGCTGCCTCGAACGATGTCAGTTCTTTCCGAGGTGTTTAAACAGCCGTCGAGTTCAATTAGATTCAGGGTCACAGCTCGCAATCGGCTCGAAAGCAAGCCACAAAACAGAAATGTATCCGCATCGCGTTAGACATTTGATCGCGTCTATTAGCCGCTTGAGGATAGAAATAAAATACTCAACTGACTGGTGTCCGACATGAATCTGCTAATCTGGATGTGCCTAGCCGTTTCCCTGGCCAGTGTCAGTGGCATTTTCTTCGATTCGAAAGCTACGACGGGAAAGCGAGGCTCTGACGACGATGACTTTATGGGCGGACTCAGGCAATTCTTTGGATACACTGCAGACACGAACACGAGCAGTCACAACAAAACAGCCCAGGAATCAGCAGAGTCCTCATCGGGATTTTACGATGAGGTGGACACGGCACTTGAACATGCAACAGACTCGATGGACGGTCTATGGCAGCAATTTAAAAAGGTAAAACGAGACTGAGTGGGGGGAAAATATATATATTTTTTATAACAGCACAGCTTTCGATATTTTACACAGAAAAAATAGCAAGATACAAAAATAATTTCACCATCCATATAAGCTTGAGCTACAAAGACAAAATACAATATGTTAATCAAGAGGTATTTGGTTTTTTCAAATGACTTTTCTGTAGCCTACGCCAGGTGTGTTTAATTAAAGAGGTAGACCAGACGATATTGACTTATTTGATGGACTAATATTTGAAGAAACAATAAAATAAATTACTTTTGTTCCTGCGGGTATTTCCAAATTGGTTTAAAAGGTTTCATACGTTTTATATCGTTTCTGTGAATCTGTCATAATCACCCAATCGTTTTCTCTCTGCAGGGGCTTCTCAGTCTGATGGGCAGTTTTAGTGCCGGCGATGAGGACGATGATGGACTCAGTGCATCAGCGACGGCTTCAATTACACCAGCTCCCGCCCTGCAGCAAATGAAGCCAATTGCGAATCAGCCTTCGGTTGTAAGCGAGACAACAACGGTGTTGCCTCCCGAAACCAACACAACCGTTAGAATAATAACGGCTACAACAATGCCGACTACGGCGATTCCAACTACAACACCAGGAACTGCATCGACAGTGGAAACAACTACAGTTGTAAATACAGTCAGCAGTACAACCAGTAGTACCAGCAGCAGTACCTTAGCTCCATGATGAGAAATTGTGTCTCTTAACCTTCTGTCGGATAATTCCCGTCATTGTTTGCACCTCAGCTGGCTTGTGCGTGTATTTATACTACGGGAATGTAAATATAAATGTCTCCCCAAACACTGACTCAGCCGATGTTTTCTTTATACCAGTGTTTGCGCAAATGTCGTAAAAGTTTGGGTAGACGAGGAAAGTCTATATCGAGTTCAGATCTCATCAATTGTTAATTGGCGATGTTGCTGCTCAGTAGATCCCTGTTCATTTTATTTCTTTCGATCCTGTGGCTGGGCTTCGTCCAGCCAGCGCCCTATGAGGGGAGTGTGAAGTTTGCTTTATCATTGGACAGGCCGTCAGACCTGCCCGAGCTGCAGTATCGACTCCTGCAGGCTCAACAGGAACAGGATGGTGAGTTGGCTGAGGGATTGCAAGGAATATAATAAATGAATCGATGTTCTGTAGATCTGGAGGTGATTCGAATGCAGTTGATGCAGTTAAATTTGCTGAAGCTGCTGATAGCACTTGACGTCTTTATCCTGATTTGTGTATACTTCTATGGCGAGAACAGAGAAATCAGCAAGTGATAGACTCGTAAATAGACTGTGTGTTTGTTATATGCATTATTTAATTGCTTTTTATTTATACTTTATTATATATTCCATCAAATGCTAGACACAGTTTTTATTAGTTTTACTTTAGAATCAATTTAAAGCAAGCCACTTTTCGTTTAGAATCTGAAGAGGGGTTCTTTTTTTTATTAAAAAAATTAAAACGAACCTGTTTGGCCATAGATTATTAATGCCTAATAAATATTACCCACACTTAGCTTTTAGAAAATAGAAACTCTATTCTATTAGCTGAAATCTGTTCAATAAAAATTCATTCTGGCCAGTTTTAAACACACTCTTATTGAATAATTATGAGCCAATTCACGCCTGGCGGTCTACAGTTTGTTTAGCTCTGGCTGCCATCCACAAAAGCCGGGTTTCCCGCTCCCATATCGAATGCATCGTTAAATATCGACAACAGTTGGCTGGCTCTATTCGGTTGTTTGCCGTTTGAACTTTTAGTTCATAAATATTAACAGCTATTAAAGAACGCGCACACACCACATAGCATGGCCAGTTCAAACGGTCGAAATGCGGGCTAAAAATTAATTTTAAATTTTAAAACTAACTGCATGCAATTTACGCGCAATTTGACAAAGGCTTGTGTGCATTTCAGCGAATGCTGCGGCATCAGGTGGTTGTGGGCTCAGGGATTGTGTGGCGGCTCAGCCAAATGTTCATTTAATTAAAAGCGGAAATTGAGCAAGTGAGCAAGTGACCAAGCAACCGAGCAACCGGGCAACCGGGCAAGTGACCAAGCGACGACCCAACCGTGGCCAAATGTCCAAAGTGGCTGGGATACTCGCAACTTTTTCCCCAAGTTGGGAGGAAATATTAAAAACGGAAAACACTTTGGGGCAACTAATTCTCGCTCCGGCTCGTCTCGCCTTTCTTCCACTTCCCTGCACTCGGCTGTCCTTTGCCATGTTTTCCTATTATTTTATACACACTTTTTTGGCAGCTTTCTTGGGCTCAAGTCTTGGCAGAAGGGCGTTGAGCTGAGTTGTGTGGAAGCTCGACACTGGAGTGGAAGTCGAGTGCTCGGGAAAAAGGAAGCAAGGCGGCGCAATTAGCAAGTTTACTGCATGAAATTATGAAACGCTTAATAAAAGCATGCTGGGGGGCAAGTAAAGACCAGAGAAGGAAAAAAAAGGTCGAAAGGAGTATTCCTGCAATATATTAAAACACAGGGCTTCACAAGTGCCAGCAAGTTAATTAAAAGGCTCGCATATTTGAAAAGTTTCGCCCCGGCTCTGGCATCGCCATCACCATTTCCATAGCCATCACCATTACGGCTACTGGTTCCGGATCCATCCGCCCCATCATCAGCATCGAGGCTGCAATTTAATCATGTAAGTGCTGGCAAATTGTTGGCTAAAATTAGAGCCAGACAAATATTGCGCATACGCCTAGTATCCGCGTTAAAAGGATGTTGCTGCCGTTGCCGCTGCCGTTGCCGCTGGTCCTACTCATGTTGCGGCCGCCGTTGTTGCTGTTGCCAAGTTTTATGCTAATGGTTTTCGTTTAAAGCCAAAAGTAATTTATTGTTGTCAGCGGGCGCCATCAAAAATGTTGCTGCACATTCATTATGCCCGAATGTCTACAATATACATATGTATGTAGCCTGCCATTGTATGTGTGAGTACGTACGTATACGTACGGCTTGCCATGCATTAAAATTTTAGCCAAAAAACAAAGCCGCTTGTGAGCCGAAAAACTTGCTTCGAAATTAAGTTAGCCAAGGGGAAACATGCAGCCAACACGGAATGGAAGATATTAATTCCAGCAGCACATTTGGATCAGCAATGCTTAAATACCCCTAAACTCTATACTAAATTAGTTTTAGTTGAGCAAATTTCTCATCCAGTCCGCTCGGCTCCTTGGCAATTCACGGAAATTCAAACAAATGTCGAGTGCTTAAGCCGGGCCAGCTTGTTTGTGCGCAGAGCTAAATTTAAATATTTTAGTAGTGCCTACAGTCCCATTTTTATACTTGGTACTAAGCGAGGTATATAGAGCACAGTTTCTATACTACTTCCAAAATAGCTGAATTTTGTTATATTTTAAAAGGATATACTTAAACCTATCAGAAGTTAGGCGAGGGGTATTGGATATCTATGATTTCGAGATGATTAAAGTTGGCTGAATTTGTAGAATACTCCTTTGATATATAATATTTGCAGAAGGTCCTTCTAGGATTTGCAGGCTGGGCATTCCCATGGTCGTGGCACTCTTCTCCCTTTCTCTGCCATGTGACACGTTCGCGACCCAATGGCCCACTGGCCGCCCGGCAAACTATGCCAGAAGATAAAACAGCCGCGAACTTTGCAACATGTTTACGGTAAAAACGTGATTTTCGGCACAAAAAGCGGAGCCGGAGCTTGACCAAATGTGGTCCGGCCCTCGAGCCTCGAACCCTTTGCCAACTGTAAATAAGTTGAGTTAAGCGGAGAGGCACGCGCTCCATCGCCACGCCGAAGCGCCGCAGCGCGAGACGCTCGCAGAGCGGGGGCCCAAATGCCCCGCCACAGTCATAAAAATTAAACATTTGTAGCTTTGTCACGTTTGTGTTGACACTTTCTTATCACAGTCAGGCGGATTTGGGGGCGGCATGTGGTGTGGTGTGGTTCCCACACCCTAGAACTGGGATCCTTCTCCCACTGCTGGCCCTGTCGACCTGGCCTAAATATGTGCGTGTGCGTGTCAGCTTTGACTGCCGGTGCGACCCGCCTGACCCCAGCTGAAATAAAACTTCAGGTGAGTGTGTGGGAATGACACCGACCATCCCGGCATCCGGGCTGGCATCCTTGCATGCCATCCAGCTATCCAGCTATCCTTTTATGCCCCATCCAACCACTGAACCCACTCACACATATGCTTTGCGATTTCATTAAAAGCGGCCAAGAGCGGCGACGTGTCGGACTGATTCTGAATGCTGAGTTTGTGGCTAAGACTCAGCCGCATGCCAAATGCCAACTTGGCGGTTGCTAGTGCCAGTTTTTCGGTGGCATAATTTGCGTTTTCTAATTAAATGCGATTAGGGTACGCGGCTGCCAGCAACGACAGGTGATTCTCGTCAGTTTTTCGTGGAATGAAGTCACATCAAAGAGAGATTGACAGCGGGGAAAGACTAAAACAAATAAAAGTATGGGAATTCTAAGACATTCTAAGTAATAGTATTAAATTTTTATCTTATAAAACGTGAAAATAAACAAATCTAAAGCACTTAGCAAACTTAGATGAAAGTTTGCTCCAGATCGACATCTTAATAACATAATTATATTCATTCCTTTTTGATTTAACGTGTTAAGCAAGCCATTTGCATCACGAGTAAAAGGTAATCCTTTCTATTGGCCAAATGAAGACGATTTCCTTGGCATTACCACCTCCCATTTGGCTCGACCAACACATCAACGTTTTTAATTCACCTTCGGAAGAGGGCCTTTTTGGCCAATATATGCATGTGGTCCAAGTGTTGGTCCATATTTTCGTTTCAGAGCCAGGGCCACAGGCTACGAATTGAGCACTCTATTCCGACCGAGACTCACTTCGGCCAAGGTTTTGGGCTCCTAATGCGTTGCCAAGAGCTCCGGCTTGGGCCCGATAATTTCATTTGCATATTGTATGCCGGGCACTGTTGCTCGCATGCTGAGATACATTTTGTGGTTGAAATTTATGACATGCCATTTGAGCTCGAGTTTCGAGTGGAGCAGCCCGCTGGGAGCTGAGAGCTGTAGCTGTAGCTGGTTGCTGGGAGCTGGGAGTTTGTAGCTGCGACTTGTAGGCGAGTGCTTGGCGTTGGCAACTTTTTTGCCATGCAACTTTAATGAGTTGACGCACGAGACCCCAGAACTTGGCACCCAAAGGCTTTAAATTGAAAAAGTTTAATGAGCATACGTATTTGATTAAGGATGTGTCGCACAGACACACACAGCCATATAGTATCCTGCTCAGCCGTGGTTTCCTTTGTGCTCGAAGGCAATAATAAAAGGCTGCACACGGTGCACTTTTATTGACAATTCCGGCTGGTTTTGACACCTGATCTCTCAGGTGAAACGGCGGGGCTGAAAGGGAGCCGCTAAAAAAAGCGTATTTCATTTTAATTCAGCCTAAGGCGGGCTTTATCGGCGCAAAGTTTGCGGCTGCCCTGCTGCGACAAAGAAGTTGGCGAAAGTCCTGTGGCGTGGCAGAGCTTATTGCTATAGCGATTCAATTAAATGCAGAGCTGCATGAAATACACTCTGAGCAGAGGAGACATATGTGGGTTTGGCTATCCATTTTTTGCTTTTGCTGGCTGCAAATCGGAAATCCATAAAATGCATCACCTGCCATCAAAGGCTCAAAAGTTTTTTTCACTCTCCCGCTCCACCGCAGAAAAGGCAAAGGTGCCAGGACATTTATTATTCGGCAGGCTCAGTGCAGATTTTTTCCTTCTATTTGTCTCAATTGCAATCAAAGTTTCTGGTTTCTACCATTCCGCTCAGTTCTTTTCACAGTTTCGCTCAGTTCTTTTCCCATTTTGTCACGCAAATTGCACAAAAGTTGGATTGACTTGAGCGGGAAATTAAGTTGATGGTTTCTCCTTGCCAAGTTCTGAGTCCTGAGTCCGGAGTGCTGGTCCGCAGTCCGGGGTCCGGAGTGCGGAGTTCTGGTCTCGAGTCTCCAGTCCTTTGTCAGTTCGCTGTGGTGTTTGTTTTATTCGTCTTGCCGCCTTGCCAGCGATGTCATCTCCGCGTGCCTTGTACTTACTTATTTAACTTGCAATTTTGACGAAATTTCGCAAGCACATTAAAAAGTTTTCGGCTAGCTTGTAAGTGGCGCACTCGCCTGAAATAATAGCTGGCTGCTGGCAAGGATGCACTCTTTAATTGCAGCAGCTTAAGGAAATCAAAAGTGCACACAAAACACAGAGCGACCGAACAAAGTGCCGTGGCGCAGAGTGAAACAAAACCAGATAAAGCCGGGCCACAATGCAC